CTATAAGCATAAATATCAAATAAGACACTTAATGTGTTAGCACCAACTTATTCTTCTTGTCTTATCCAAGCACCTGCATTATGTCAGCCAATGTGTAGTAAGAGCTGTTGAGACCATCCCTGTTCTTCAAATGTCACAGTTTGGTAGGAAAGATGGGCACTGAATGTTACAGCCATACTAGATTTGTTATATTTCTAAAATATTATCTATAATATATTCATTTTTCTCTGCCAAAGGCCATGCTTTTATTTCTCCTCTTTATCTTCTTCTTTATCCCTCCTTTGCCCATCCTTGTTTGAGATATTTCTTCTCCTTTAAATCCATAAAGATGCCAGATATGTCTCCCATGAATCCTATGTTTGGTCCCAGTTATTCTCTCATGGACGATCCCATAGTATTTGTTCAGCATCCTCTGTTGTGTTTCAGTTGTTTTAAGCGTATTTATTTATAAGTTCCATCTCATGGTTCTATTTTCTGTTGTCTAATCCTGCTGTTTATTGGTCTTCTTAGTCACTCCAATGGAACATTTTCTCATGTGTTAGAAATGTCATATTTTGAATTCATATTCATTGAGATTTGATATGGAGAAATTCTCTGCAGTCTAAGTTGACATCTTTTGAAAACAAGTTGATATTGTATCTACTCAAGCACTAGCCAAGGATTATTCTTTGTTATAAATATTTTTGTCATCTTTTTGTGCTGGTGAAGGGCAATTTTTTTCTAGCATACACTATATCTGTGATTGCTGTATTTACTGATATCGATTATATGCTGTGGCTAATTTCCAACTTCTCATCTTGAATTGGCCCATTAACCTCACTTTCTATGGGCCTGAAATTCCAGCTCCCAAGGGTACAAAGACTAACAGCATTCCTATTCTCCTTAAACTCTTGTTTAGTATCTAGTTTCAGTTCATTGCTTTACGAACCCCGAGGAATAATTCCTTCTGCTTACAAACTTAGGTATGCATCTAAAGAGGATTTTTATTATACTTCTGCATTTTTAGACTGGGAAAGTCTTTTAAAAAAATGTCAGATTCTTAAGAAATCTGTTTTCCTCTGAACTATGTGCATAAGATTGTACTTTGAAACCTCAATTTAATCACTTTTCAAATACTATTTGTAAAATAGAATAAATGTCCTTTTATACAAAGTCTATTTAAAATTTTGAGCAATAATTACATTTCTTCTCTGTATATAAAACTTAAGAATGTTTTAAATCCAAGCTCTGTAGATTATCATACATAATAAATATATCTAAAAATAATCTGCTAGTTTAGATAATGAATATAGTTCTAGGTCAGTTAGTCTAAAAAGATTTAAACTGGAATAAAACTAGAATATAAAAAAGAATGTTTTCTTGACATGCTTGCTAGAGGGACAAAATGAATACTTGGAGGAATAAAAAAAAAAAAAGAAATATTGTGAATTCTTTCCTTGTTCAACCAGCAGATGTCATGTTTGATTGTCAGAGTGTAAAATTATTATAAGGGTATTTCCTTAGTATTCCTGTGCACTTCTTACAAAATGAACGAATAAACCTTAAGTAGGATTGGCTCTGAAATCAGAGAAGAAATTTGGTGTTTTTTTTTTTTATCTATTCTTAAGATACAGTTCTCAAATGAAATCAGAACGCATTTTTCTTTTGTAAAGTTTTTCCAAAAACGGTTTAGTACAAAGTATGATCTGAGACAGAAGCAAGCATATGTATATTTAATTATAACTATTAAAATTTATCATTATTATTTATTACTGATCAATATTATTTATGCACCGCCTAAAAACACTTTTTTCACCTTTAATTCTAAGGTGGTGTGATTATTCAACTAAAATAACATTTTCTCTCTTTTCTTTTAACTTCATGAATCAAAATCAAAATTTAATGGGTCCCTTTTTATTTGATTATTTATTTATATCAAGTTCCATATGACCATTTTTATTCAGTCCCTCAATTTGTCTGTCATATGAGACCTTGGAATAGATCATCTCTGAATTATTTTCTAATCTAGTGCTTCATGAAAAATTATTACATATATGTCACTCATAAGTAATGCAGATATATCAATGCAGATAAACATATTTTTAAAAAATACTTTGGAAAGCCCTTTGAATATCTGCAATTAAATATAAAGCTGGCAATGGAATTTTACACTAACATGTGATCTACTTGTAGTATTTAAATGAGGGTTCCATTGTAGCTTAATTCCTCATGACCTTGAAAATAGATCTTAATAAACATATTCATATTACTCATAGTCATTAGGATTTTTTTAAATTTTAGGGTCAAACTGCTTCAATAACCTTAAAATATTTATCCAGATAAACATTCAGTGCTTGAATTGTGGCAATTTGCAATTATGACATGAAGCCAATTACTTTTCTGGCAGTTAACAAAAATAAGGGTTAGACTACAGATAACATGAAATGGAATTTTAATTAAAAATAATTTAAACTTTTTAAATAATACAATAAACAGTAGGCAAATGTTTCATAGTACCCTGTAGATTTGAGACCCAGAGGTTCCTTAATGACTGTTTTGTGGACAGTCACCCATCTCAGCCCTGCTAAATGGGTATTAGTTATTGACTACCACTAGTGAAAAGGAGAATCATAGTCTATTGAGGCAAGGCATTCCATATTCAGAGAAGATTGGTAGAATATTTCTAAGTTAAAATATCTCTCCTTTTAATGGCCACTCACTGGTTTTCACCTTTTTTCATAGATACATTAAAATTTAGTCTGATTTTCTTTCTCTGTGATAGAGTTTCAATTCAGAAAATTCCATTGCCCATTTTTGTTTTTCTTCTTTCCATTTTAAATAGCTTCTCGTTGTGCCTCTACTCTTCCCTTGAGATAATACTCTGTTTGAAAGCATCATTTATTTTATTTAAAAGTGGTGTTTAGAATTAAATCTAGTACCTCTTGTGTTTCCTCCTTAGTTAAAAAACAAAAGCAACCCTCTCCCCTCCTCCCCACCAAAAAAAAAACACATTGAGTCTCTTACCTCCTCAATTCAATCTAAACACTAGTCTCTAATGGCAACACTCTAGGTTACTCACTGAGGCAGATGGTTACTTCATTTAGAGGTTTCGAATGCTTATTTTGAATCATAATCCCTGGCTCTTTATCTAAGCTACTACAGCAGGCACCTCCTCAATAACATTTTGAGAAATTTGGTCTTGAGTACAAGTTGTCAGTGATGTGCTGGATATTGATTCCTTCATTTAGTATACATATTTTTCTCTCATCTAGATTTTGCTCTTAAGTGTTGTGAACATGAACTTACGCTATCATTCAGTAATAAGTAAAACTATCATACAAGATGAAAGAAGTAATGAAAATAATATTAAGGCTCTTTTCTAGAGACTCCTATGCAAGATTCTTTGTATAGAGTTAATAATGCATTTTCAATTCAACTGAATGAATACTTATAGAACATTTTTTAGTGTACATAGTGTTGATATAGGAGACTTTTCCAAATGTTACAAAAATTCAGATATTTAATTCAATGTATTTATTTTTACAAGTAAACTTTTGAACCATTAAATTCAGTTCATCTGACTTTTTTTTTTTTGGTGATCCTCTCCAGGGTCAAAGAGACCATCACCTCCATTCTCAGTGTTCAAAATCCATCTTTTAACTGTCTGTTACAAATATTTTATGAATCAACTCTTCTGCAAACCCTAGGTGGTAGGTGACTATTGATGCAGAGATATGAAAAACGAGGTAAGCGCAGTCCTACATACAGGAATCCAGAAGGAGAAACAAGAAAGACATTTAATATTTAATCCAGTGTTCTAAAAACGAAAAACGCAGAAAAGATGGTGAATGAGGGATGGTAAATGCACAACGTTTTAGCTTATCATCTAGTAAGAATTGCAGAGCTCTTCAAAAAGTCTGAGAAAATGTCAGCAATCTCTGTAAGGATAGTGACGTGTCTCCTCATTTGTCGTTAACCCCAGTGCCTAGCACACTCCTTGGCGTTGGATAGGCTCTCACTAAATATTGTTTCAGTTAATATATTATTGGTAAAAATGGAAAATGTGAAAAAAATCTTTATTTCACAGTATCAGGAAGTTGGGCTTATCATTCTAAATAGTCTGCACTTTTCAACTCAGCAATTTAAAAAAAACCAAGGTGTTTATATGTTAAATACACTGTATACACTTCACATATTCATAAAATCTAAATGAAAGTTTCTTTAGTATCGACCAAAGTTCTTGTATTATTGTTTAGTTTGTGTTTGGTTAATTTCAAATATATTGACCAAGACATGGATAATATAAACGCACATTTTCATTTTCACTGATGTTTCATTTTTATTGAGTTGATAGACTCTACTTGCTGATGTACCTCTTTTAACTGCTAAGCTGCCATATTTTTTTCTTTTCCTCTTGTTCACTGGTTATTTCATTTCAGGCCTCGGTGAGGGTCCTTATCTTCTCCCATAACTCTTAACCTTGGAATTTCCCTTGGTCGGACCTTAGTCGTCGTCTTTATCTACTTACGCTCTCTTGGTGATTTCCTTAGTCTTACGGCTTTAAATTTAAAATCTATCTACAAGCCTACAGATAACAAGGTTATATCTCCAACCCTGGCCTCTCCTGAATTCTGGATTAATATATCCCACTTGATATATCAATTTAGATCATGAAACTATTCAAAAGCAACTTTCTGACTTCCTCCTCCAAAATTTGTTCCTCCCATAGTTTTTCATCTCAGTTGATGGAAAGTCCATTTTCCAGTTGTGTAGGCCAAAAAATGTGTAGTCATCCTCAATTCTTCTCTTCCTGTCATATTGCTCATCCAGTCAACCAGCAAAATCATCTTGCATCTGTTCTCAAATTTCTCCAGAAAATCGGTTACATTTTAATTATATGACTTTCCAAATATAAGAATACTTATGCAACACATAGTAGAAAGGGGTAAAAGGGCCAAAAAGAATAAGTATGTTTAACTGTAATGTAATCATTCAAATTTAAGCACTCTTTCTGTTTTTAGGAAAGGCCTATGCTCCAGAATTCTATTATGATACCTACAATCCTGTGTGGCAGAACAGACACCGTGTTTATTCCTACAGTTTACAGTGGACACAAATGAACCCTGATGCAGTAGACCGGATTGTTGCATACCGCTTGGGTATCAGGCAGGTGAGAAATTTAATTGCTGTCTTTTATTTTCCCTTGTGGTCCTCTGTGAAGACTTTGTTACTATGATTTATTATGTTTTTCATCATTTTGCATGAATTCTCAAATGTTTTCCTATATCAAAATACTATTACTGTACATAGAACTGTTCCAAATTATTTACAAATCTTTGAAATTAATTTATGTATTTTCCACTATGACAGCAGACATAATAATATGACATCCTTCAAGCCTTCTGAAACCCTTCACCACTAGATGTGCTAGAAACTACATGGTATAATTGCTATGAAAGAAATTTACTTAAGGTGTGCTCACACATACCTACACTGCCTAATTCTTTGTCATGTTTTGTAAGAAGTTAGAATTTTAGCTTTGAGAGGTTTAAAGAATATATAGGTTGTTTTAAGAGTTCATTCAATATGCCTGAAGAACAGAAATATTTAAGTAAAATAAGAAGAAACAATCCAGAATGATGCTTTCCTGAGGTTGCTGAAGATGATGGGTTATGTAACAATACTGCATCTTTTTCAAATGAACCACTGTTAAACTCAGTTATCCTTTGTTGGTGTAAATGATATTTTTGAAATTTAAATGTGTTTCTTTACCTTATTTCCTCCTACATAGTATATTATCTGGGATGGTAATTATTTCAGCATAACAAAATATTGTTGAAGATTTATCTGATTACCACATAAGCTATTAGCTCTCTCTCACAATTTTATATTATCCACAGATTTGTAAAGTGCATTTTCTACTTCCTTAACTAAATTACAGAATAGCCTTTAAGTTTGAAAGTTTGAGTTGAAAGGACAGTATTTGTTTGGAGAAAGATTGATCAACCATCAACAATCCACTCAGCTGTATGGTCATAAAATCAATGCTTTTCTATCTTGTTCACAAAGTTGTTATAAATGACTATGTAAGAATGTTCTAATTATTATGTATAGTGAGTTGAATATTTTTACCCTACATGTCTAATAATCTAAAAGAAAACTTATTGGTGAATACATCTTGGCATTTGATAATCGCTGCTTTCTTGTTGTGTTCATAGGTAACTAGTATAGTAGACAGCAGATCATGCAGAAACTTTTCTCTTATTTTCCCTTATTTACTTCAGCCTCTAAATGAGTCTGAGTAAATACCAAATCAAGAGTTTGTTCTACTTGTCCCAGTTTGATAATTTTCCTAGATAGAGAAGATCTAAATAAAAAAGATTGGCAGTTCTTTCTTCCCAGCTGATGTAATTATACTGTTTTATTTTTCTTTTCTTAACACAGCTAATATTTTTAGATATTTCAGATTTGCAGTATCTGAAAGCATTCTTGCCTTTAGACACCTCATACTCATTTTCCAAGTCCTTACCACATGATTCGGTCATCCGCATTCATCTTTTATTACCTGTGTTTTGAAAAAACTATGAACCAAATACGAAATTGCTAAAATTAAACTGTTCTCTTTAGATGTCTTTCTTTTTTCTTGTTACAGATTTATTTGTAATGGTAGAGTCAGAATTTCATCTTTAGTTTCTGATTTTCTTCCTCAGTTATACTTCCTTAGAGTACCTGGGAGCCTGGCCGTCACTCCCTGTACATTGAAGGCTGCCCATTTTGAGTCTGCAGAATTTGCCCAACTCTGCTCACCATTCCGTTCTTTTACTGCAGCATTCCTCAAAACTTCTTGTTCCCAGTGTCTCCATGGCACATGCAAGTCACCTTCTCTAGAAGTCAAATTTAACAGAGAAATCGTTACCATCTGAGTCCTCTCCCTCAAATAGACTGAATTTAGCCGAATTAGACTTCTTCCTAAGAGGGATCTAACTAATTAAAGCCCTTCCTTCTTGTTCATGTCTTTGTACTCATTATTAATAAACTACCGTGTGTAATATTTTTTTACTAGGATTGCTATTCTATTTTCCAATAACAGTTTCTTTTATTTCTAAATTTTCCTTTCCTAACGAGAGCATCTGCTCTAAATACCCTCTTTATATTTCTTGAACATAAAACTAGTATACAACTGCCTAATAGACAGTGACACACATTTCCAGTCACCGATAAATCCTTTTGAACAGATTAGATTATTTCCTCCTATTTTTCTACTTTAGAATGATATGTGTACCTATGCAGGTATGAATTTCCCCTCACTATCTTTTGCTAAAACTACAAATTTCAGCTTCCAATCCTCATCAATCTAGCCTTATCATTTTTAGCCTTATAACCTTGAGCAGATTTCTGGACATACCTAAGCCTAGATTCCTACCTAGTAAATTGAAGATAATGACCCCAATCAGGCAGCTGGAGTGTGGAGTGGACTATGTCACCCACGAATCCCAGGAGCCAGGTTGCCTTGTGCAGGGCACTTCTTGTGCAAACATGTGTGGCAGTTCTTACACCCATATGCCAGGGTTGTATGAGGATTAAAAAGGGGTACGTTTTAAGAGCTTTTAGTTTTATTTAATACACAGTATATCCTAGCCCTTACTATTACCACAAACCATGATCTTCACAAAATAATTTCTATACCTTTTTTCACTGTCTTATTTTTATTTCAAACCTATTGTTCTCCATAACATCCATTGTACTGATACATATTTTTCTCTTCCACCTTGAGTCTTAGTTTAAAGCCTTCTTGATCAGATCAGTAAGTCTGCTGCTAATGCTTTTTTCCAAATTTGTGAGATTTATGCTGTCTGTTAAAGGAAAGCATATTTCTGATGTTATAAAGCATGGTCCTGAAAACAATTCCTTTCTTTTACACAGTTTTTGAAACTAACTCTTTACTTGCCATAGAATTCTTTTCTGGGCTTCCTTGTTCTTAGGAGTTTCTATTGTATTTGGAAATAACTATCTTTTACTAAGGTGCTTTTATTTATAATCTTCTGTTTTAATTAGTAATTTTACTCAGATACTATACCTTGCCATGAGAGCTAAACTTTGATATATGTTTTGGGAGTGTCTGAACAAAGAGAAATGGCCCTGTGCTATTCTGCCAATGTGAATAGAATGGTGATGTTTGTGGAATAGAAAGAGCATGTACACACGTTTCTCTTTTGCCACTATCATATTCTTTATAGTTAAATCTTACGTCAAAAATCTTTACATGCAAAATGGCATAAGTAGACAACATTTCTTTCGAATGTCCTCTTATACACTAAAGTGGCCTCTTATACGGATTAGTGGGCAAAGCATTCTAGATACAATAAAATTGCTATAATTCTTTAAGAATATCCCTCGGTTTAATAACAGAAAACAAGAGAATGTAAAACAAAGTTATTTGTCTATATTATCTTAGAAAATTTAGATTCCTTCTTCCTCAGGTATGGTCATTTAGATATCAACATTGTTTTAAGACTCAATTGGATACCAGCATTTTAAAAAATCACTCTTGATTTCTGATCTGGTGATCATTGTAATAAAGATCGTATATAACATATACGTGGTCTTTTTCATCTCCCAGGTTATCTCAGAATCTTGAATCACTGAGTTTTTTAATGTAATCAACATAACTTGGATGATGTTTAAATAAACAATGTAAGGAATGTAACCTAAGCAATATAAGTTTAAAAATTAGATTTTTTTCTAATAATTAATATTTATGTCCTTGATTATGAGACTAAGTTTCTTCAAGGGATTATTAATAATTTGTTATATATTTTGTGATTTTGAAGTCTTATTTTAGCTGATATTTTGATTTTGAGCCTACCTATCTAAATAAATTTTTCTATCCATAAAATATCTAGGTCATATTTTGCAAAGTTCTTCCCCTTTTAATATCAAACATTGTCTTAATTATATAATGCATTTCTGTATTAGATGAAGTCTGAAAGACAATTTTGATCCATTATGACTAATGGCAAATTCATTTCAAAAGAGCCCTACTTTGTTCTTAATCCGGAAACTGTTGGAAACCTTATTACCTATTCTTAAATTAAGTGAGACTGTAAAAGTCACAGCTTTGCTATTAAACCCACAGGTGAATGGGACTGGTAAACTGAGCCCTGCATTCCTCCAGCTTTCTGGCAAAATTAGCTGACTCTTTTGGTTAACCTATATAGTTTGTATTTAAATATGATGAGAAAAATTATCTCAGAAAAAGTTTTATATACTTCACTTCATAGTTGCTGCATTGTATCCAGAAATAAAATCACTGGAATTCTGGAATCTCTGTTTTAAAGAACTTAAAAAGAGAACAGATATATCATGTGAAGTTAAGAAATTAATGTGTGGAAAAAATTTCCTTAATGTCCTTAAGTTATACTTCTTAGGCTCAGCTATGCAATTGTTTAATCTCCTTAGACAGCTACTAGCTTCCCAATTATTTGCTTCATTTGTTGCTTAACAAGAAAGAGAAAAAGGTTATTTGAATGTGTTTTCCTTGGTATCTAAGGAATTAAGAAACAAGCAAAACTTTTTCTAAGTTATCTGAATATACCAAACTCCATCTGACTCCATTTGAAACATACACAAGTATAGTTTCGATAATAAAGTTTTTTAGACTTTTATACGGGTTCCTCTTCATACTCTACCATACAGATGTACAGTGAATGTGACCTTTTGAACATCATCTTTAGAAAGTAGATATTTTACCGAATAAAATACCTTAATTGCACCTTTTTTGTCCTCTTAAGTCATGATATATTAAATTATTAGAATTATCTTATGCGTTTGCTCACCCAGGATGTCAATAAAACTTTGAGTAAATTAATCATGCATTAGTTTATAGATTTTGTTGAGAGAGATGTGTTGAGGAACAATTTGACATTTAATGCCAGTCCAGGGAATTCTGTGAAGAATTGCTACATAATAGGGATTCATTGTATACTACTAAATCATAAATAATATGATACATCATATAATTTGATCATATCATACATATATATTGAATGATATTTCAGTAGAGGCAAAGACCACAGTTAGGCATGTTTGAAGTAAGTTTGAGTAAGATTTAGATTAGAGTAGTGAAGGCAGAGAGGAAGAAAAATTGAAGTAACAGAATCTTGAAATAGG